CCATCAGTGTCTAATGTGCACATCTAGACCTGCTATTCAATCATGTGATTGATTGTCAATGAGAAGAGGAGCAATCTACAACCTCAAAGAGGGAGCAATCTACAACCTCAACATGGAGGGAGAATTTCATATCAATCATATATCATCTAGTGATGATATCCATGTTCAATCGATCTTAATATCACCTTCAACAAATGAAGTGATATTCGGGGTAAGAACCATGTCTATATCAGCTGTAAGATTCATGTAATAATATTAAAATCACAGTGGGCAACATTTCATTTCGCAAACACAACTAAAATCATTCAGTCATGGCCACCCCTCATACTATAGGTATCAATTGGCCAACTGCGATAATAGGTCAATTAGCTTAGTCAAATAGGTCAATTACAGAAGCTGAATTTCAGGCAACCCAACTGTAACAAGTCCAACAATGATATGTTTGCTTAAGCATTCTCAACTCACTTCTAGCACCAATTCATGCAATTCAACTCTTCTATTACTTACATAACATCATAATATAAGATATATCAGAATCCCTAGGTCATGGCATATTAAGTACAAACTCAAAATTGTCCATCTTGGTTTATGCCAAATTAGACTTGAATTCATGCATAACCTTAATTTCAGATCCATCTTCAATCACCTTAAATCCAATTCCTAAATCACTTCAACTTCACCAAAATGTAAAACTCCTTTTGGTTCTTTCATTTGTTATGAAGAAATATCTTTTTTTTTTTTTTTTCCGTAATTAATCCATAGAAAAAGGGAGGAAGTGAAGATAATTAACCTTTTCTTAAGAATTACTTGAAAATTCCTTGATTTTCACCTCCTTTTTGCTTGGTTCTAAATCAAAACTCTCCTCCTCTCTTCTTGATCGACTTGGACAGCAAAAATGGGTGGAAAATGGCGTGGTTATCTCCACCTCTTCATAAAAATATATAATAAACATTATTAATATATAATAAACATTATTAAAAATTCCTTCCATGTCCTTTAAATGAAAATTGCACTATAATCCTCCCTTTTGTTTTCCCTTCATCCTTTAGCACTCAATCTTTTTCATCACTTTACTTTAGTCCTAATAGGTATCAACCAAGTGTATTTAATATTCTAAACCCCACTTAAGAAAAGTAATACTCAAATTACTGTTTTTCGAGTAAAATCGTGCTTTACCAAGAAGTCATTCCTCGTTAACTCATTTTTGATTTCCTTTAATCTTTCAAATTGATTTGTAGTCACATTAATTACCATTTAATTAATATTCACATCCTCAATATATAGTGTTTCCCATTATTCTAGGTTTTCCTTTCATTCGGATAACCGAATTCATCGAGCTAGAATAGCAAGAACTACAAAGTTGAGGATATTACATTGTAGGTCTCTAGGATGGTCAGTAGCTCAAATGCTTTTTATTATCATATCATCTACATATACTTCCACGGTTCGCTCGATCTGGTCTTGAAACATGCTATTGACCAACCTTTGATACGTGGCTCCGGCGTTCTTTAGTCCAAATGGCATGACTTGATAATAATAGATTCCCCTGTCAGTAAAAAAGCTCGTCTTCTCCTTATCCAGTTCGTTCATTCTTATCTGATGGTACCCCACCGCTGCAACCACAAGATTATACACTTCATAGCCGGCTGTTGAATTTACCAGCAGATCTATATTAGGTAGAGGGTAAGGATCTTTAGGGCATGCCTTGTTCAAATCGGTAAAGTCAACACATAACCTCCATTTTCCATCGGACTTCGATACCAAAACGACGTTTGACAGCCATTCTGGATAGTTCACCTCCCTTATTTCTGGATAGTTCACCTCCCTTATAAACCTTGCTTTCAAAAAGTTTTTCTAACTTTAGTTGCTATGACCTGCCTGTCTTTCAGGCCATGATTTCGCTTTTTTTTTTTTTTTTTTATCAGTCTAAAGCTAGGCATCAATTCTGAAGCTTGTGGGATATGGTTATCAGGATCAATGCAAACTATGTCATTCAGGTCCACCCAAAAGCTGTTACATTATCCTGTAAAACTGTCTTACATATTATCTTGTACCTTTCTCGGTAGATCGACTCCTAGCATTCAAGGTTCTTCCTCTGTTCACTTTCGTATCAGGATCAATGCCAACTATGTCCTTCACGGTCCAACCAAAGCTGTTAACATTATCCTGTAAAACTGTCTTAATATTATCTTGTACCTTTCTCGGTAGATCGACTCCTAGCATCAAGTTCTTCCTCTGTTTCACTTTCCATGTAATCAGTCTGCCCACAGGTGTTGGGCTGGAATCTACATTATGTGTGGGAATATCAAAGAGTTAGTGTTCGGTTGGTTTTGTGGGCGGTTCACCTTCTGGCATCCACATGATTGGCATGGCAAGGGGCAACCCTTTCAGTGTTATCATGTATGCTTCCTGAGCTACCTTCTGATCTCCCCTAACAGTAATGACTCGCCCATATCAGAGTAAAACTTCATGATGAGTTATCTAATATATGTGACCACTTCCAGTTCATATAGTGCTGCTTACCCAATATAACATTGTATGGAAAGTGAATGTTCACCACCATAAATTCCAATTTGAGCTTCCTTGACAAGACTTCAGTCCCAAGCTCTAGGGCTACGTCTATGAACCCACACACTGGCACAGGTTTCCCACTAGGCTGACTAATGGGGTTCAGACAGGTTTAAGCCTCGCTGGTCTAGTTTCAAAGCCTTAAATACCTCCATAGTCAACACTGCACTACCTTCATCCACTGACACTCTTTTTACCAGAAAATTTTCCATAATCCCCTCAACTACTAGGCATCATTATGTGGGGCATGTATAAACTCACCATCGGCTTCAGAGAATGATATGGGCAGCCTATTACTCAGCTTCTACTGGGGTAAAATGGAATATATCTCCCTGGCTCTCCTTTTTCTGGTTGAATTTCTATCACCCCCGACGAGCCACCAAATATGGTGTGGATTGTACCTAGGGTGTGACATTCTTTCGACTGCTTGCCCTTCTGTTCATTTTCCCTTCATGCTCTTCCAACGAATTGCTTCAGTTTGTGTATTTATTATTGCTTTCATTGTTGCACCTCCAGTCTTTTTGTAGAAGGCGTTCTATCTCTTTCTTCAATTACCAACATGCCTTGGTCTCGTGGCCTACATCCTTATGGAACTCACAATACTTGCTCTTATTTTGATGGCTCAAGGTATTCTCCTTCATCTTTTTAGGATAATTAAACTAAATTTGATCGTTTGTTCTCTTACCTAAGACAATATTTCCGAGCATGGTCTGCTCAAAAGGGTAAATTCCTGATCTTGATGTGGCTTGCCATCTCTTAAGTATGACATTCAAACAGAATAACTAGTTCATGGGAGCCAAATAAGTGACCTCCTTTAGGGCGATCGTCTCCTCACTGGATATGGATGTCTCTTGTGTCTGTACTTCTTTTCTCTAGGCGATCTGTGCTGTTGAGCCTCATAGGCTTCGTCTAATTTTGTGTATTTGTGGGCTCGCGCCATAAGCTTGGCGAAGGTCAAGGGAGGGTCTATACTCAAACTTTCAAATAATCTGCTGTACTTGTAATTTTTTGCCATGGCGCTAATGGCTACCTCATTATTCAAGTTCTCTATTTGCATCGCCATTTTTTGAAATTTGGATACATACTGCCTCAGGTTCTCGCCCTTCTCTCTTTTTAAATCTACCAAGTCAGACGATATTTTCTTGGATGGTACACATGTTAAGAAGCGGGCTCAGAATGCTATAGCCAACTAAGAGAAGGATGAATGAATCATGTCTTGAGTGTTTGATATCACTCTTGGGTTGCCCCTTTTAGGATAGTCGGGAAGACCTTAAACATTAAATCTTCCGAATTGGTTTGCAAATACATCATAGTTCGGAAGGTCGCCAAATGGCTCTGGGGATCAGTAGATCCATTATAGGATTAGAAAGTAGGAAGCTTGAACTTTGGTGGAAAGGGCCAAAATATCAGCTGATAAGGGTGAGTCCTGTCAGAGTCCATAATCTCCTGTATCTCCTATCTCTTTACACTCCTGAACTAGTTCCTTGACAACATCCCGGAGATTTGCTCTGTCCACAATTGGTTGGATGCAACTTAGTTCTTGGCTGTTGGGGTTAGCTATATTAGGGTCCACCTCTGATTGTGCCTCATGTTATCAATAAGATACTAAGTGATGTCGGTGTTTAAGGGAAGTTGGGGGTAAGCTATGCTCTTGGTGAGGAGGGTTCACCAGACTAGGAGGTGGTATTGGCTCGTCGCTAGGCTGAGGGTTCACCAAGAGGCATTTCAACACAGTGGTGAATTGTGAATAAGCTTGGGCTAAAGCAATTGCTACCGAGGGATCAGTGGTTGATGGAAGGACGAGCGGGGATTACTAGTTGGCCTCGCCATGGGTGTTGTCTTGGCCTTCAAGATTGAGGCGTTTAGTGGGGTTGGTGACCATTGGAATCGAGGAAAAAGTGTAGGGATTTTAAGGTTGAAGGTGTGTTCCATGTTCACCCCACCAATTGTTAAGCTCTCAAAATTTGAGGTGTAGTAAATTGTGAAATTAACCTCTTAATAGGGTAAAGTTGGAGTATATATACCGAATTCCGGGTAGTTGTATTAAGATAAGGATTATAAATCCTATATTATTTGTTAATTTGAATTTATTTAGAAGTCTAATTTTATTATTTTAATATATTTCATTATTATATGTTAACATTAGGCATTTACATCTTTAATTATAATAGGAAGAACACTATAAATATTTGTATCACATCCAATTAGAGAACACATTAATTACACCTCATAATGATTCTGGAGCATTCATATTTTACATCTATAAAAAATGTTACAAATATGTACTAATTATTAAAATTTTTAGTATTAGATGTATTGGATAATTTGCATAAAACTTAAGATAAATGAGATGGTATGATCTTTATTTTAAAATACCAAACAATATATATATATATATATACACACGCACACACGCCCTTTAAATTCTAGCGTAATCGCAACTCACGTAATGGCAAGAGGGATTAGCACACCGAATAATTCCTCGAAGGCTAATGCGACATTGCTCATGCTTCCTTGTAAGTAGTGACACAGTGAGACAATTCCAAGGCCAAGCATTCTCTTTCTTTTGTAATCTTTCCTTCTCCAGATGGTCGAAACCATCCAACGATCATCTGATCCATTGAAAGGAGCCCAGCTATTTAGCCATTGGAGCTTTCTGATTATGGAAAACACCCATTACGAGAGATCGCTCATACAACTCCCAATACAGATATCTGCATAATCAGGTATATGAAATGCTGAAGTCTTTCTTTATTTCTTTTTTATTAATGGTTTTGGATAATTTCTTTGATTTTATGATTCTTGGAAACTGGGTCACCGCTCAATTTCTCTAATTTGTTGATTGGGTTTCGAATGTTTCTCTTATTTTGTTTATTTGATCAGTGTTATGTTACTGGTTCAGGTTCATGGCGATTTCTTGAATTGAGAATTACTGGTTTATAATTGCTCTTATAAAGTCCAGGTTATGTTATGGTTTATTGATAATTAGGCTACTATAATTTCTGTTTTTTTAACTCCTTATATTTATTAAGGACTATTAGGATTCTCTAACTATGCCATTTCATTTTCTTATCACCCTTGTAGCTCCAAAATCTTTGGTTGATATGTTAGAGGATTAAGAGCCATATGCTTTTGGAAATGACAGTATCTATAGATTCTTGGTGTCTATAGGTAGATTCTTGATGTCTGATCTATGATTACTTCTATGAGAATATAATTTCAGTATGATGATCACAGACTTCTTCCTCTTTTAAAGAAACCTTCCATTGGTTTAGGCTTCTTAATGGGCTATACTTGTTTTCACAGGGATCTGCAGAAATTGGAATTATTTAAGGTTTTTGATGATTCAGGTTCCGATAGCATTTCTTTTCCTCTTTTAAATTCGAGTTTGCAACTCAAGCTAAGATATTCCACCTTATCCAACGCTGAGTTATTCTGCTGTGATAATTCAAATAAAAACAGATTGAAGTCTTTTAGGGCCATTAAACAGCAACAGTTGTTGTTTCCACAGTTGGTCTGGTAATGCAAGTAGGCAATTTAGATAAGATAATAGATACTGAATAGAGGAAAATTTACTCATACAAACTAAGAGAGCTAGCAAATTAAGATTCAGGGATTATAGTATGAATTATTTAAAAGCTGAATAGCAGACAGTTGTGCAGTTGTAAAGAATTGGCAAAAGGGTACTGATACGTGCAGAAATATGACAAGGGCACTGGACTGTCTGTTGTGTTAAGGTTCTAGACGATCCAAGGGTTTGTTTAATCATATTGTATTTATTAACTTTATGAATGGTCATTATTAAGGAAGATATAAAATTTTATTTTGTACTCGCTTAAATTGGTCTACACTAATTTTTGCTTGTGCACTAATTTTGACATTGTTGTTTTTAGTACAGTACTCTCTGAGGATCGAGAACTTATAATGGCCAACTCTGGGGAAAAAAAGAATGTGGGCTTATTGAAATCTGTAGAAGAGAGAGCCCTATCCAAGAAGGTAGAAGATGAGCAAAAGCGGCAAAATGTGCCTTATTTTCATAAAGATTGCATCTCAAATATACTCATTCGGCTTCCTCTCGAGTCACTTCAAAGTTCAAGATTTGTTTGTAAGCCATGGTACAATATAATTAATAGTCCCATTTTTATTGATGCCCATCTTCGTCGGTCTGAATCAGTGTTGATATTTCTAGAATCAGTTCAAAATGAAAGATACCCTTATTTGGAAAGATCAATGCCAACACAAAAACCAAACTACTTCTCAGTTGAATCAAGTTTCCTTCAGTCAAAACCTGTCCCCATTTTCGGGCAACCAGTAAATACACTACCAAAATTCCGTATCCAATTCCTTGAATTTAAAGAGGGAAAGAGCAAGGTAACAGAGTATAAGGTGAGCTGCCTGGGTCTTATTAGAGCTACATGCAATGGTCTAATTTTACTTGATAACAAACTGAAGAAAGGAGGACTTCTAGTCATGAATCCTGTGACAAGGAAACTTATGGCGCTACCTCTTGGTACTATATATCCTCCACAAAATGAATCTTATGGATTTGCATTAAGTAACACTACTGGAGAATATAAAGTGGTGCACTTATTTCGGGATGAGTTGGGCTATGTTAGTTGCGAGATATTAAATATTGGGACGAGATTCTGGAGGGAAGTGAATGGACCTTCTTTTGGACTTTTTGGTTGGTTTGGATACGAACCTGTTTCAGCAATAGGAGCTTTGCATTGGGTTCCTCAAGTTGATCATAACGACTACATCGTGTCTATGGAAGTAGATAATGAGAAGTTTCATACTATTCGACTTCCCGAGAATTGCAGAACCTATGATAGGATTATTGAGATGGCTGGGTTGCTGTGTCTTGTTGTCCATGAAGAATTGAACATAGATATTTGGAACTTGAAGAGCATAGGCGAAGGTGTATGGACAAAGCAATATAGCATCACCAGGGGCAGTGTTCTTGATATGGTTCCAATGTTTAGTTTAAGAATTAGTGGAGATATAATATTCAAGAGGGCTGAAGATGGTTCATTTTATGCTTATGATTTTAGATTCCAAGAGATGAGGAAGGTTGAGATCGATAAGAAATGCTTCCCTTTCTCCGGCACGTACCTCCCTCATGTAAACAGCCTTGTCTCATGGATGCCCTCTCAGAATGTGTGTGATTGATTTTGATTTTGATTTTGATTATGGCTTGGATTTTTCCATGGAATGGTAATCAGTGATGTAGTTTTGTTGGCCTATGCACCATATGGTTTATTGTCTGCTTGCTTTGTGTTTTGGCACTGAAGGCTAGTCTTACAATACTGTAACGTGAGCACCATACTCAGTTGTGAATAATCAATCAATCAAATGTAACTGAGTTACTATAATTGAATATTTGTGTATAAATGGGTCTTTTTATTTCTCCTTTTTCCTGTAATTCTTTTATAACCTTCTTTATTTTCAAAATATGGGAACAAAAATGGTGAAACAAAAGACAATCTATTCAGATACAAAAAATTTCGAGCTGATATCTCATTTTGTAATATTTTTCTTTCTGGAATTCATAATTTTTATTTTTTAAGGTTTTGAGAACTTAATAATTTAATTGAAATTGATTAAGCACAACGATCAAGAAAATTAATTAATTTATTTAATAAGTATATTGAATCTTTACTTTGATTTTGAAAATATTTAAGAAAAAATAGAATAAAGAAAACAGCTGCCAAGAAGTTATTAAAAAGCTGAACTTAACAAGGGAACTAATTGACAATTAAATTTCTAGCAAGATAATCCAAACACATCTTTCATTCTCAGCCATTCCATTACTCTTGAATTTCCTTCCAATTTTCACTAATGGAACCCCAAATTACATCATTATTTCCTAACTCCATTTTGTCTTCAAGTCTCTCAACAATAGCTTGTCTGCACCAAAATTGTACATGACCAAGTCTTTTTGATTAGACTGAATGCAATACAATTGAATTATTCCAAGGTCCATTCACAAAAGTTAGCCAATTAACTGAATCTGTCCTAAGCCCGTGTAAAGTTTATCTTCTTTGCTTCTCCTCTTACATCACTCATTTATAATAGAATTCAGAACGTGTTACTGCAACAAATGCTTAATTTTGATGCTGTGAAGTGAAATTCATTACTCTTCTTCCCTTATAGCTTGGACATAAAAGAAAGTATGTATTGCATGCATATGAGAGTTTTGAAAGAGGAGCATTCATTCTTCTATCCTACTGAGATTGCAACAGATATACCTATTTGTTATCTATATTTGCAGGGTGTTTTGGATGATACAACGGCAAAATCATGGCATATGGGCAGACTTGAACTTGTAAGACATATACTCTTGGATGACTTGGAGAGAGGAAGATATAGCTCGTGGAATAATGGTTCTGGCTATAGAGGATATATTATCAGATGTTTCCTCGAAGTCATATTCTGTGTCCGTCTCCTATTTGCAGGTTATTGGCTGTTATAGAAAATTTTGATTCCAAGTCCCTGGTATTGTAATTGGTTCCGTCTATACTAAATTACGGAATAGGCATATCTGTCTAATATTTTGTTCTTAATTATGAAAAATTGCAGTAAATATGGAGACTATATAGGACCTCCATGATCCAACTAATGATAAAATTTATATTGTGGAAGACCCGAAGATATTCTACTCTTTTTGATAAACATAAATAGAATTTAAGAATGCAGAATCAGTTTGCTTGACCTAATCTTCTCCTTTTGTAAAGTTCATCCATCTGCCATTTTATAGCAGTAGCTTGTATGGAATACATGTAAAGTATCTAGCTTCATTACTACAAAATATTATTTCTAACAGCTGAAGTTACAAAAGAAAGTGAGCATTCTTCAAAATTGCAATACTTCGGGTGCCTGACCATATTGGAACTTTTAATGATTGTTCTTTTTTATTTGCGGTTAGTGGTAAAGCTAATTGCTTTCTTGTTTCATCCTTTATGTATTGAGATTTATGAATCCCACATTGCATGTTATTTGTAAATGCTGAAAATAACAGGAACCTGAAGGTAAAAGTTGGGAAACAAGTTATATAACTAAAGATCAATATGAAATAGCTTCGCTTTCTTAAGACTCTCTGAAACACCTGCAACTGAACCTATGCCAGAAATGAAAGTAAAATTCATACAGAACTAAACTCATAGCCTGAAAACACATCCAACGACAGCTTCCTCTTTTGATATTTGTTTGCACCTTATACATATTCAATGGGAAGTAAACTGATAATGGCCAAAAGCAAACAGCTCCAAGAAAACCCAAAATTGCATTGAAGAATGGAAGCATAATTGCCAGAGCAGTTGTCAAAATGACAGATAAAGTGCGAAGGATCTCACCCAAGTGATCGTAGGATTGAGTCGTTAACAGGAGATAAGAGGACACCCCTTTTTTGAGCTTTGAGGGAAGGAGAATTCTGAATCTTTTCCCGGTCGTATATGCATTACCACTAGGTTATACCTTGGTATGTGGTAAGAGGACACTCTTGGTGATACCTAGAATAAGAATATTCAGTTACCAATAATGAAATATGCATTTTAATGTAACAGTATGCCTTACGTACTAAAATTAAATTCAACGAATGTAGGAGATGTCCTAAGAGAAGATCATAGTGTTTGATAAGAGAAAGAGAGAGAGAACCTGGTAAGCTCCAATCAGATGTATAATTACAGAGAGGTTGGCAATGTCAACAAGCCAAAATGGTTTTTAAAAATCCTGAAATCTGTACAAATAATATTTTGCTAACTTAAGAAAATTAAGAAAATAATTTATTCTATGGAAACATAGTATTTTTGTTTTTGTTTTTTTATCAGAGAAGAGATTAGGCTGATTCAATGATTTCTTTATAGATCACACATAGACTAAAAATTAATAAAATGAAATAATTATAAATGATAGAAATTAATATTTAAATTGCCAAGCTTAGTAGCGCCGGCTTATTACTAATTGGGGTTGTAGCTCAATTAACAATAGTTGATCACAACCTTCCTTTTCAAGGAATTGATACCATCCTTCTGTTGTGGTGCCCACTCAAGTTGGACTCACATGTTTGTTACTGGTGTTTTCTTATTGGTGTGGCGGTGCCCACTCAGTGGGACCCATACACGTGATGAAAAGGAAAAAAAAAAAAAAAGATAGGTGAAAGTTGGCATGAAACTTTGACAAAGATGGAGAACCGTTAATGAGTTATACACGGCTCTTTCGTCTTCCTCTCCTATTTATAGAAGAGGATTTGCCTCATTTCAAACACACCAATAAGCGATTGAAATCGCATAGTTAGAGAGTTAGTTTTAAGAAAGGGTTCTTAAAACTAAGGGTATAGAAAAATAGTGAAGTTTATTGGGTATTTTCGGGAAACACTTTTGAGTGCCACTATTTTTGTATTACTCTCTTTGTAAGCCTACTATTTTTAATGGTGGAAGAAATATTCGGAGTTGATCCCGTGGACGTAGATTGGGTATTTTTCGGGAAACCACTTTTGAAGTGCCGACTATTTTTGTTATTACTCTCTTTGTAAGCCTACTATTTTTAATGGTGGAAGAAATATCGAGAGTTGATCCGTGGACGTAGTCCTAAACAGTTAAGGGTGGAACCACGTAAAATTTTGTGTCCCATTTCTATTTTTTCCGCTGCGTAATTATTGTGTAATTTTTATTGCGGTGCCCTAAAACAAGTGGGTATCAGAGCCGAAGGTTTTTGACAAGGTCCAGCTGGTCAGATTAGCGGTACCAGATCCGTGGATATATTTTGAAATAAAGTATACCATGACAAAGAGAAAAACGAGTCTATTGGTGTTGTCCGCTCTGAAAGACGTTGCAGAATCGACTTAGTGATGAATAGTAAAATAGTAACTCGCGGTTGATGGTGAATAGTTACCATTGGCGTTATTGTTGCTGAGCCCGTCATTGTTAAGACCAGCACTATTACGTATAGTACTATTCACATATACAAGTAATATTCACGTATAGTACTATTTACGTGTACAGTTACTATTCATGCATACAGTTACTATTCAAGTAGACTGTTAGTATTCATGGTCACTATTGACGTAAACTGCTGTTCACGTATACGGTTTATGTTGGTGATGATATTCTGCACAAGTCAAAATGGACAAGCAAAATGATCAGTCTAAATGGCGGGAATTAACATATATGGAGAAATGAGAGATCTCCTTATGGTAATTAAAATGCATTTGCCTGTGTTTAATTGAATTAAACCGGAAGAGAAGACTGATGAGGAATGAGTTTTAGAGCCAGAACATTATGGGACAAGCTTGAATAGCTATATGCCTCAAAATCCGGCAACAACCAATTATTTTATTTGACGAAGCTGATGAATTTCAAATATCAAGAAGATACTTCTGTAGCAGATCACTTGAGTGAAATGCAGGCGACTATTCACCATCTGTCAAATATCGGCATAAAATTTGATGATAAAATCTTCGATCTTATGGTGCTTGCCTCCTTACCAGAGTCTTGGGAGACTTTGAAGATATCAATAACAAACTCTACACCACATAGTGGAGTTAGCTGGGAATTTGTTAAAAAATGTTGTTCTGAATGAAGAAATGAGAAACCACATCAGTGATTCTGTATGAATATACTCTCGAATTGCTTAAAAAGAAAATCGTTGTTCTGATATGAAGAACACCACATAGTGGAGTTAGCTGGGAATTTGTTAAAAAATGTTGTTCTGAATGAAGAAATGAGACGCAAAGCACAGAATCCTTCTTCATCTCAGTCGGACATTCTTTTAGCAGATGCTAACAGAAATAACCATCCTAGAGGGAGGAGTCAATCTAGAAGTTCAAATGCAAGAGATAAGAGCAGGGATAAATCAAACAGATTTGCCAATATTGTGTGCCATGATTGTGGGAAGAAGGGGCACATTAAAAGGTATTTCCGGAAGTTCAAAAGTGATCAGGAGAAGACCAAAAGGCAAAGCAAAGAAAGAAGAAAGCAGTGATGATGAAGCCAATGTTATTGCTGAGTTCCAACTGTTCATTGAAGACACTGTCAACATTGCAGCCTAGGAGACCGGTTGGGTAATTGATCGTGGGGCTACACTTCATGCAACATCCCGGAGAGAAAATTTTCCATCTTACACACCAGACAATCTGGGCGTAGTCAAGATAGTAGACGGCAAACTGTTGAAAGTCATCGGTAAGGGAAATATTTGCTTGGAGACAGAAAATGGTTCGAGATTAATTCTAAAAGATGTCGTACATGTACCAGACATGCATTCTAACAGACTTGATGCTGAAAATTTCTGTAGAACCTTCAGAAATGGTTAATGGAAACTCACAAAAGGTTCCATGGTGGTAGCCAATGGAAGGAAAGATCCAAAGTTGTACATGATGCATGCGAAGCTCTCCCAAGATACTTTAAATGTAGCGGAGGATGACAGTACAGTTGAATTGTGGCATAAACGACTAGGCCACATAAGTGAGAAACTGTACATGATGCATTCGAAGCTCTCCTAAACAGATACTTAAATAAATTGTAGCGGAGAGGAATGGAAACAGTTCAGGTTGAATTGTGGCATAAACGACGTAGGCCACATAATGTGAGAATCAGGATAAATGACAACTCTGCGTAAAAGAATAACATTGTCTATACCGGATTGGATAAAGTCCATTTAGAAGAATGTTCTGCATTGTAAACAGGAAAGCAGTAATTGTAGATCAGTAACGCCCTTTCAAGATGTCAAATAATAGCCTCCAAAATGAAGAAGTGGAATGTGTTAGATTTGGTACATTCAGACACTCTTCCTTATGTGCGGACCATTGACGTTGTTCATATTGCGTGGAAATCGTGGATACTCGTAACATATCAAATTGACCACCGATTTCGTCTAGGGAAGGACCTGGGCGCTTTATACACTCCCTTGAACCCGTCTGAGGAAGATCAATGTATACTAGTATTTTTTTGTTTAAACAATTTTTAAACTTGGTTGGAGCACAGACAGGCAAAAAGCTGTAAGGTGTCATCAGAACAGATAATGGTGCAGAACAGATAATGGTGGAGAATACACTGGGCCATTTGATGCTTTCTGCAAAGAGCATGGTATTCGACATCAAACAACACCTCCCAAGACGCAGCAACTGAATGGTTTGGCTAAGAGGATGAACAGAACTTTGATGGAGAAAGTCAGATGTCTACTCTCACATGCAAAGTTGTCTAAAAGATTTTGGGGTGAAGCTCTTCTTACAGCAGTTCATCTTACAAATCGGTCGGCTTGTGTTCCTCTACAGTATGATACTCCAGAAAGAGTGTGGTCAGGAAAGGATGTTTCCTATGATCATTTGCGGGTGTTTGGCTGCAAAGTCTTCGTGCATATTCCTAAGGATGAGAGGTCTAAGCTTGATGTAATGTGTATTCATTAGCTATGGCCAAGATCAATTTGGTTATAGATTTTTTGATTCAATCCAGAAAAAGATGATAAGAAGTAGAGATGTTGTTTTTGTTGAAAATCAGACTATTGAAGATGTTGAAAAGACTCAGAAGCAAGCTGCCGATAGATCTGAAGATGATTCAACATATGTACAAATAGTTCCTCCAGCAACAGAACAAAGACAAGTTGGAGATGAAGAAACTGTTCCACAAGAACAAGAGCCAGAGTTAGAAAATCCAGAAGTTCCTTATCAAAATGAATCAGAAGAAGATTTTGATGGTGTTCATGTTCAGCCACCAGCACCAGAAGGTTCTCAAACATTAAGAAGGTCTAGTAGAGTCAGACAACTATATACTAGATATTCAGCAAATGAATATGTATTGATGACTGACTGACGGGGGAGAGCCTGAATGGTTTGAAGAAGCCATGGAAAGTGCAAACACCAAAAGGAACTGGATTGAAGTGCCAGTGCAAGTATGTGAATGAAATCCTTGTAATGTAGATAAAACTTATTTGTTTGAGTTCTAAAACATTTGAGCTGGTAAAGTTGCCCAAAGGCAAGAAAGCTTTGAAGAACAAGTGGGTGTTCAGGATCAAGTAGGAAGAACACAGCTCCCAACACGATTCAAAGCTAGACTAGTTGTGAAAGGATTCAATCAAAGAAAGGGTATTGATTTTGATAAAATTTTTTCACCAGTTGTGAAAATGACATCCATTCAAACAGTGCTCGAAATGGCCGCCAGTTTTAATCTGGAAATCGAGCAAATGGATGTGAAGACGGCCTTTCTACATGGTGACTTGGAAGAAGAAATATACATGGAGCACCCAGAGGTTTTCATCGAAAAAGGAAAAGAGAATTATGTATGTAAGTTGAAGAAAAGCTTGTATGGTTTAAAACAGGCACCAAGACAGTGGTATAAGAATTTTGAATTTGTTACGAGGGAGCAAGGTTACAAAAAGACTACTTCAGACCACTGTGTCTTCGTAAAGAAATTCTCTAATGATGACTACATTATCCTTTTGCTCTATGTAGATGATATGTTGATTGTTGGTCAGAATTCTGTCAGAATTAATAGCTTGAAGAAATAGCTAAGTAAGTCTTTATGATTGGACTACATTATCCCTTTTGCTCTATGTTAGATTTGATATGGTTTGATTGTTGATCAGAATTCTGTTCAGAATTAATAAGCCTTGAAGAAAATAGCTAAGTAAAGTCTTTGCTTATTGAAAGGACTTAGGACCAGCAAAGTAGATTCTTGGCATGAAGATACAAGGAATCGAAAGAACAAGAAATATAGTTGTCACAGGAGAAGTACATTAAGAAGGAGTACTTCAAAGGTTAAATAAATGAAGAATAAAATTATAAAAGCTCGCGTAAGTTTGTCCTTTTGTCATTAAGTTATTCCCACTTTCAAGATTATGTGCCACAATAGTGACCGCTATCTTAACGCATTGAAGAGAAGAAAGAAATAGGGAAAAGATTTCCATATGCATTCAGCAAGATTGGGCAAGGCTTTGATGGTATTGCATGGTTTGTACATGCCAGATATTGACTCTCACTCAGTTTGGAGTAGGATAGTACACTGTTTCTTCAAATTAACCCTCGCGAAAGGAAGGAAACATTGGACTGCAGTGAATGGATTCTTCAGGTTATCTTCGAGGTAACAACAAAGCTATTGTTATGCTTTGGAGTAATGACGAGCCCAGATTAGTCAGTTGTATAAAAAGCCAGAATATAATTATGTCAGAATATATAGAGTGGGGAATGTTTGGGACTCGAGAAAAGGTCTACTCAGGATAATCTAATCACATTTGCAGGGTAGCCGTGTAAAACGTGGCAGTCCAGATTATACATATATGTGATTGGCTCAAATCTATCAACAACTGAGGCAGAATATACATAGCTTAATTAAACAAATAAGCTTGCATAGGTAGTTTGCTGTGGAAAAATGAAAGAAGTTCTTGAATGAACTCGGGGAATGTTTCAATCCCAAGAAACGATATTTTGCAATATTCTGCGTATAGCCAGAGTTGCGATTCACTTGGGAAAAAATTCCTCCGTTCACAATTCAAGGTCCAAGGCATATTGATCATTATAGACTTCAATATGACGATCAGGGCAATGTTTCCAATGAACTAGAGAATAAAGCAGAATTGGTACAGCTGAGAAGATCCATACAGAGAAAAATGGATCAGAAGTATGTTAACGAAGATTTCTTGCGCGAGATAGACAAGTTTGAAACATTAATTTCGAGATTGCTGCAGGGATGTGAGAGGATGGCTTAACGTCCCACTTGAGGTGTGCTATTTAGAGGTGAGGATTTGGCTTAATTCTGCTAAATTGGTGATGGCGGGTCTTGCGCCACTCAGTGTGGCGGACCCTCACCACACGTGATGAAAGATAAAAAAACCAATGAGTGTGGCGGTGCCCACTCAGTGGGACCCACACACGTGATGAAAAGAAAAAAAAAATAAAAAGATAGGTGAAAGTTGGCATGAAACTTTGACAAAGATGGAGAGCCGTGAATGAGTTATACACGGCTCTTTCGTCTGAGGATTTGCCTCATTTCAAACACACCAATAAGCGATTGAAATCGCATAGTTAGAGAGTTGTTTTAAGAAAGAGTTCTTAAAACTAAGGACATAGAAAAATAGTGAAGTTTATTGGGGTGTTTTTAGGAAACAGTTTTGAATACCACTATTTTTGTATTACTCTCTTTGTAAGCCTATTATTTTTAATAGTGGAAGAAATATTCGGAGTTGGTCCCGTGGACGTAGCCCTAAACATTTAAGGGTGAACCACGTAAATTTCTGTGTATCCCATTTTTATTTTTCCGCTGTCGTAATTATTGTAGTAATTTTATTGCCAGGTGCCCTAACACCTTCATGGTTGGGTAGCAACTCTCTAGAAATCAATATTCAGAATGCCAAGCCTAGTACCACGGCTTATTACCAAGTGGGGCATTCTCCCCCAACCTCCATGGTTGGGTTAGCCAAATTTTTTTTATTTCTCTTTTTTTATTCCCTATTTTTTTTTTACATTTAATATAATATTAATCCCTTAATAACTATTTAATTCCTCATGTTTACTATTGAAGTACTGTTTAGTTCATCACTTAAAGAAAAAAATAATATGTTTGGATAAAAGAATAAGTAGTTTAGGGTAACTAAAATTGTATGTTGTAAATAAGAGGGACAATGTAGTAATCATCACCAAACCTGAAGGACTAAATAGTTCTTTAGCCATTATTATTCATATCAATTTCATTTTTGAGAATCGGAGAATTATACCAAACTAAAGTAATTACTTAAACCGCAGAAGCACTCTTTCCTTTTTTTTTTTTTTTTTTTTTTTTTTTTTTTTTTTTTTTAAAAATGAAATTACACTAGAAAAATTCAATCAAAACAAGAGAGAAGAGAAAAGGGAACCTTTTTTTTTTTTCATAAAGTAAAAAAAAGGGAACATGAAGAGGACTCTAACTAGAGATCCAATATGAAATAGTCTTTGCTTTCTTAAGAGAATCTTAACATGCCAGCAACAGGAACCTACAGCTGAAAATGACACTAAACAATCAAACAGATTAAGCTTTAAAGCTTGAAATCCGAATCCAACGGTTTACTTCCCCTTTTGCATCTTTGCTTGCTCAATATTACATACTGACTGGGGATAATAGACAGTTAATGCCAAAAAGAAATAGCTCTAAAAGACAAGGAATTCATGAAGATGGATAACATTCATTGCAATTGCAGGTTTGTGGCTATCGGTATGAACAACTATCAATCCTCTCCGGAGAGTCTTGCGGGAATTCCCTCACAATCCTCTTGTCGCTCGACCTACAGAACCTCACTTCGCTCATCATACCGCCGTTCAGTGGAAGCTGCCATTCGCGTATTTGCCTCGACAGTCCTCTTTTTTTTTTTTTTTTTTTTTTTTTTTTTTTTTTTTTTTGAGATAAAAAAAAATGAAATTAACTAGAAAAATATCAATCAAAACAAGAGAGAAGAGAAAAGGGAACCTTTTTTTTTTTTTCATAAAGAAAAAAAAGGGAACATGAAGAGACTCTAACTAGAGATCAATATGAAATAGCTTTGCTTTCTTAAGAGAATCTAACATGCCAGCAACAGAACCTACAGCTGAAATGACACTAACAATCAAACAGATTAAGCTTAAAGCTTGAAATCCAATCCAACGGTTACTTCCCCTTTTGATCTTTGCTTGCTCAATATACATACTGACTGGGAAATAGACAGTTAATGGCCAAAAAGAAATAGCTCCTAAAAGACCAAGAATTCCATTGAAGAATGGAAACATCATTGCAATTGCAGTTGTCAAAATGACAAACAATGGCCGAAGAAATAGCTTTTGGAGGGCAAAGCTAAAAGTGGTTTCAAAAATGCATGAGAACTTAATGGTGTGATTTGTAGTGAAGAATGATGCTGGCCATCTTGATGCAACCCACTTCTCATTTATTGCAAATACTGGTTGTGCAAATACCTGAGAGTGACAATGAATTAACTTAGATTAAGATCAAACACCAAAAAATTCAGAATTTTACAGATTTATCATTATTTTGTTTTGGTATTAACAAACGGTATCCCCCGCCAATTGGATAGACATAATCACGACTCGAGAATTGCTGATTTTGATTTCAAACCGTCTGTTCTACTTACAAAAAAGGTAAAACCGAAACCAAAACCGAACTGCAAATGCTTCTAGCCGGTTTTTGGAACGGTTTTGGAGGCGCCGGTTTCGATTTTATTCTGGTTTTGAACTGAAATTAGATAATATATTTCAAGCTTTTTAAAATACTTTTTTATTTTTCTAGCTTGAATAAATAATAATAACTATTGAAAAAAACTAAATCAATTTAATAAAAATTCTTGAAAGTTACTTAAAAAAATTATAATAAAATAAAAAGCAAATTGAAAATTTTTTTAAAAACATGTTTTTTATGGTTTCAAATCAGAATCGACAGATCTAGCTTCAAAGAATAAAGAACTAGAACCGAATACATGGTTTGAAACTAAAAACTGTGTCGACCATGGTTTCAGTAGATCAACCATAAATTTGCTTCGCAGTGTAGGAAATCTCATCATTTCAAACAATTAAAGATTGGTTGAATTAATTCTACGATTGGCAACTATAGTAGAAAGAGAGAAAAGGATATAGAGAAGAAACCTGATAAGCACCGATTATATGTATGATTACAGAGAGGTTAGCAATGTCAACAAGCCAAAATGGTTCATAAAAACCAGCAAGAATATTTCCAGCAACATCATTTCCAAAAGCAGCATAGCCCATGCATGCAACAGAAATGTAAAACAGTGTTGTTCCACTAATTGCATATAACGATACTCTCTTCATTACTTTATTTTCTGGCGGATCTGACTTTAAGGTATCCTGTACAGCAATCAAGTTGATGTGCAGATGTTATTAGAAGACACAATAACGAACAAATATATGCAGAAGTAAATTATTTTCCGAAACAAATGGAGCCATGTTGTTCAAAGAATTGTAAAGACTAAAGAGCATCATTACAGATTAAAAGACAAGAAGAACCTGAATTTCTACAAGCAACATGGAGAAAGTATAGGCCACGGCAATATTTCCAAGAGCTTGAAAAGAATGCCAAACTTTTGTTGATAAGGCTTCATTAATCTTGCTATTTCCCACAGCTACCACCAAACTTCCTTTAAGTTGATGGTCCATGCAAACTTTTGCAGTGCATAGACCCAATGCAATTAGTGCATATGCAAAAGATGTAACAGTTGCAACTACTGAAAGGAAAGCCACTTTCTCTAAGTTTGGACATTGAGAAAGAAGAATTTGGATTGCTCCAAATACGAGCATATATAAATTTCCTGATACCCCACAATTTGCTTTCTGTCCATATGCATGGAAACATATTGTCCTCTTCACAGTCCTGTTGGGAAGAATGGAAGATATATAGTTAAATAGTAATATACTTGAGAGCTTGAAACATTAATTCTAAGTTACTATATTAGTAAATTTTTTTTTTTTTCCTTTCTTATTACCATTCATCGAAAGGGATTTACTTATGTAGACTAAGTTCATAACCTTAGTTATGAACCAAAGCAATAAAAATTTCTGACCATAGATAGGGACATGGAACTGATCTAGGTAAGTATTTTCCTAGTTATAATTTGGCATTGGGTTTAGGTTAACTTTTGAGTATTGACATGCCATTTCAATAGTGTCTAAGGCAAGCAAGCTATTATTTTGTAAAAAGTGAAAAAAAATTGAAACTTCTCAAATATAATTGAGGATAAACAAGAAAAAAAATTTAAATGATAAATAGGGAAAATCCTTAGTACTTAAACTAGCCTAATTATAGAAAATGTAGTTTAGATTGATGAATATGAAATCCATAGATTTCACAAAATCGTTTAAATTTAATTTTATAGATATGGAAAATGCTTATAATACTTAAATAACCTAATTATAGAAAATGTGATTTGGATTAATTAATGTGAATGGATTTCACAAAATCTATAAAATTTAATAATGTGGATTTTGAAATTCATAGAATTTCATATTCTATTATTTGGTTCGTCAATAAGATTTTGAAACAATTAAAATTCCATCTTGAATAAAAAATAATAAAATTCAGAAATCCCACTAGCAATCATAGAATTTACCAATTTTAGAAATTGTAACTTCTTTTTTCTCAATTAAATAAAGGCATTTGATAATTATATTTCAATTCAATGGTCACTCAAATTCTATCAATCGAAATAATCTCAAAAATTTTAAAATGTATTAAGACCTAATTCCAAACAAACTAGAATCGGTCTGAACCAAAACCATTAGCTATGATTTTGAACCAGATCAAACCGATGCAGCAACTTACGCTACACAAACAGCAGTTGTGACTGTATAGCCAACCATTGTTCCCCATAGTAGTGTATACTGCATTATACCACATAGAAGTTCATTTTTTGGACCTGCATACACATATACGTATGTACAACAATTAATTTACAAGATTATTATTTCTTGAGTACAATATAAAGAAACTGGACCAACTAGAAGATTTTTTACTCGAAAATGAATACATTGTCGGTCGATTTTTTACTCGAAAATAAATTTATAGTACGGTCTCTGTATTTTTACAAATACAATTAAAGATCCCTATGTTTTTTAAAATATACTAAAAAAATATGCCTGTAATCCATTTCTGTCAGATTACAAGATCTTTCCGTCCAATTTTTGTATCTTTTCTGATAAATACGTTATGAAAAGACAAAAATACTCATTTTATCTCTTCTCATCTTTGGTATATTTTTAAAAATATATGGACTGACTAATTGTATTTCTCAAACGATAGACATCATACTGTAATTTTTCTCATATAAAGTTTTAATATTTCTACCTTTTGTTTTATATAATTAATATTTTTGCTTTGACGTTTGTGTTTTTTTATTTTTTTTTATTGACATAACGGACAAAATACAAAAATTGGACAGAAAGACTTAGAAGTACAATGAAACAAAATATTGGGATAAATTAGTGTATTTTTAAAAATACAAAGATTGAATAGTTGTATTTCACAAACCGCATGGACCGAACTATAAATTTCATAAATTGAAATGGATCTTAGATGGAATTGAAAAATTTAAAAAAAAAAAAATTGCAGCACAAAAATATCAAAAGTAAAAATTGCTGGTCAAATTACAAAAGCCTTTAAAATTTAAGCATTATGTTGACACTAAGCTACATTCTGAATTACTGATAAGTAACAATATCAAACCATTAACCCATAAATTAAATTTAACAAGAAAAACAGAATAAAAAATTATATAAAAAAAATCATGTAAAAGATTAAGCTAAATAAATGAAGGACAAAGAGTTTACCTAAAAGAGTTCTAACAGCACCAATATAAGTGTAGTTTCTTCTTCCGTGGACAGGATCAGGAGCTCTGTAGCAATCACATAGCAGGATAGCTGTGTAATATGTGATAATGGCAAAGGAGATAAGAACAAAGCAACCAACGATCCAACCCAGTTGAGCCACGCTCCAAGGCAATGCTAATATTCCAGCTCCAATTATAGCAGTAAATGCATGGGCTGTTGCTGTTGCCAAGGTCCCTGTATAGATTTAAAAAAAAAAAAGGGAAAAGATTATTATCTTTTTGGAATGCAAAAACAATCAGCCTGTTTTCTTTTCATTTTTCCAGGAAAATTTTCAGAATACCTGATCTGATGCGTCCATCGTCTCCTGCATCCACTTCCATTTCCTTTTAACAATCAGGGAAAGAAAGAAGAGAGATGTGTTGAAGGAAAGTTAAAGAAAGCTAAATAGAGATTTGAGTTTAGAAAGACGAATTTAAGTACTGAAAAAGGTTGAAGAAAAAGAGAGCTATTAATTATATGGATTCATGAACCCCGCTGCGTAATACCATATGGCAATAACAGCTCTTTCATATACTGTTGGCCAATTACACTTTAGCACTTATTTAGTGACATGTCATTTATTTGTTACAAATGGAAAAAAGATTTTTTTTTTTTTTTTTTTTTTTTGCACCCTGAATATGTGACCACTAAGCTACTCATAAATCTGAATTTGACTGATAAGTAGACTCAATATTTCGAATAACCATTTTAGAGCCCATTATATTAGAGATATTTTAACTCAATGCGATTACCAGAACAGATAAAAAGCTCTCTTATAATATAAAGATAGAAAATCACTGAATTATAGAAATTAAGCTAATAATGTGAATAGGAACATATAGCAGCTTCTTTTACCTAAAGAAAGGTGTCTAACCTGATCCAGCCCGAGCTAACTTCTTCCGTCCAATCCTTATATACTACGAGGAGTCCACTTTGATAGTGCATTGACCTGTATTGCCCGACGTTTCACTGTTATAGGACCATATCTCAAGTCAATGCACCCAACCCAAGGCCAGTGATATGTATTGCGAAAGCCTGATCGGACATTCAATCTTTGCTCCGTCCCAACGCCTAGGCGGTCTGAGCCACAGTAAGTGTCTGAAAATGTATCCTGCGACGGCTGCTGGGTTCTTTCCATCGATTAGTGATGCATCTATTGCCGGAGCTGGGTCGAGTCAATTTGTTTCGATTTAGTGATGGTGATTGCGAAGTGATCGCAGCCTACCGCTCTTCACGATTGTTGTACCTCCCGTACCACCGTCTTCTGGCCTCCGCACGTCCTCACGTTGACCGTACCACCTTCTATGACCGATGATCCTTCTCGTTCACTATGCTCCTCTATCGGACAGACAGCTGGGTACAATCTACATCCTCCACCATCACTAGATGTCCACCTGACCGCCCGACTTAATAGTAATATATGCACACGCTCAGCGTCCACTGACAAGTCCCCACGTCTCTTCTGTCTCTGCTACAATACGGACTGCGATAGCATATCTTGAACCACTCCGAGCCATATTACTCAGGACAGCCCCATGCTCTCAAATATCTCCGGTCCGCTGACAACTCTGGACGATGATGTATATTTGAACTTAAAGGCGTATCAATGTCTTCAACTATAAATATACTCTTGACGTGTAAGCTCTGTGTGGAAGTAGCATTCGAACCCATATATATAATATACTGCATTGGTTTGCATTAAGTCGCTACTCCATAACGGCCCCGGTTGTGTTGCCGAAGACGATCCAATAACAATCTTTATTCACCATATTAAAGTTGTCCGGATGAACTTTCAAACACCTGGATGAGAAGTAATGGGGAAGAATAGATTTTGTTTTGATCAGTTTTGAGAGGAGCTAGTGTATTGCTGTCGGACAACGAGGAAGACATTACTGAATGCTTATGGAATTCATTATACCGATCAGTTCACCGTTATCATCAGACTAAGGTGAAGGGTGCAATCAGATGATGGTTGTATCCTAAGACTTCTTTTTCCAGGGAACACGTATGTGCAACTCCATTCATATTGTGGTCAATTAGTTAGATGGGTGATGCTTTATTTTAGTGCAGTGCGCATTATTATCGTGTGTGAGTTGTCTTCTTTCCTATGACCCTGGACTAAGGTTTGATCAGGAGCTCTGTAGCAAATCATGCCAATTTAGGCAGGGGGATAGCTGTGTTTCAATATGTGATTAATGGCAAAGGAGATAAGAACAAAGCTAATATACCAGAGAGCGATCCGAACCAGAATTGAGCCCACACGCTCCATATGGCAATGCTTAATATTCTCGCAGCTCCATTATACTAAATGCCGCTGGCCCTATAGCAGTAAATGCCATGGGCTGTTTGCCTAGTCGCCCAAATGTTGTGTCCCTTTATTTAGGATTTAAAAAGAAAAAAAGGAAAAGATTATTATCTTTTTGGCTAATAGAGCAAATAAGACAAATTCCGCCCAGTTTTTCCTTTTTCTATTTCTCTCAGCGAAAATCTTTGTTCATGAATTAAACTCTGATCCTGATGCCGTCCATCGTCATCCTTGGTCGTGCCGACTTCCATTATCCTCTTTTAACAATACAGGAGAATTGGAATTGAGAGATGTGTTTGAGGAAAGTGTAAAGTCTAGAATAGACGATGGGTGTGGTGTTTTAGATTAAGAGCGAATATTTTAGTTAAATGTACTGTAATAAAGTGAGTATGAATGAATAGAGAGAGCCTAACTCTAAGTGTGGATAAGATTTCTATGGAATACCCGTCTTGTTGTTCGTTAGATACCATATGGCAAATAACTCATCTTCGTTTCTCTTCAGCACTAGAAGAGGGATCATGAGTTCTATCTCGTTGAGTCACTAATTACGCAACATTTAGCGAGCTTTGTGTATCCATTGCTATAGTAGTGTTGTTACGAATAATTGGATAAACAAAGTATTGTTTCTGTTCTCCTATTATTCTTTTTGTGAGGAGCTATAAGTTAAGGTTCGTGGGTGTGTGCCTAGTTTCTTAGTAATGTTTGGAAAACTCCCATTAATTGACCCCTTTGAGCCTACTTCCATTTTTTTTTTTTTTTTTTTTTTTTTGAAACTAAAGTAATTTGGTGTGAGTTTCTTGTAATTTTGGAAACTGCATTTTGACTTTTCTATTTTAAAATTTTATTTTTCTTTTAATTGCTTTTCTACAATAATTAATAAAATTTATCTAATTGAATTGGCCAGTTTGATTAAGTTCAGATTGGTTTTTAACTTTAATAGAAAATCGAAATTTCATTGATTCAGTTTGAAAAATCCTAAAAATCAAAATGATTTAATTCACAATAGATAAGTCAAAATCGAAAGATTATACCAAAATAAACCTTTCGGTTTGGTTCTATAGATAATTGGTTCTATAGATATTTTTAAAAGGATGAAAAAGCTCATCTTTAGTAAATTTTTTTAAGAATTGTAGAGGTCCAAATCAGTTCTCTGCCCTAATTCAACATAATTTGCTAAATTTTCTAAATTGTATAAAGTAGTTCGTCAAAATCAGTCTAAATCTTCAACGGCTTAATGATGGTTTTAAAGGAGCTGTTCGAGCTTGCGAGCTTCAAGACATGGTAGGGATGGTAGGCCACAAATTCACTTGGGAAGTGGACAGGGTTCAGCAAATTGGGTGTAAGAATATCTTGTTCGAGCCTTTGCATCTTGCAATTGGATCGGTTTGTTTCAAAATGCCACAGTTTATAATCTTAAAGGAGAGCCTTTAATCAATCTCCTATTTTCCTCCAATTAATGTGTTTTGGGATGAGCAAACTTTGGAAAAATCGAAAAATCGTACCAAATCGATTCGTTTGGGTTATTTGGTTCAATTTTTTGGTTTTGGTTTGTAGTTTGGAAAAAATCTTTTTTCAATGCGGTTTGATTTTGAAAAAAAAAAAAATTGCGGTAAACCAAGATGGAGGATGCTGTTGTTTGGAACAGGGAAGGAACGCCTTTTTATTTTTTACCTAAATTAATTTCAACACCCCCATTGTTTTGCGCCACCTCCCTCTTTTACTTTTTTTTTTTTTTTCCTTTTTTGCAATTTTCCCTTCCTCATTTCATCTTCACCGATCTCTCCACTAGAAGCTGCAAAACGGCTTTGCCTTCCTCACCTCACCTCCACCGACCTCTAGGTCTCGCCCCTTTTTTGTCATCGCATGAAAATTACTCACACTTTTATAGGGTGCTATCATGTGACGATATTGATATCAGATGTTACTCTCCGGCGAGTTATATGTGGGAAGTTCTAAAGAGGCTTCTGCCTGCAGGACAATTAGTGGCAGCTAGGATTTGCAAGGGATGAATAGACACGGCCAAGCAGTTGTGGAGGCCACCGTGGAGATCATGCTGAGGGTTCTAACAAAGAGCTCAACTTGGATTTGTTGTGTTTCAAAAGTATCCTGGGGCTTGTTAGGCTGAGTCTTAGGATGAGAAAGGTTTGAGCTATTTTCAATGACTATCTTTGATTCTAGTTTATTGTATCAAGGGTTTTATAGAGTGGATCAATTTATTGTTGTACTTGTAAATTTACTTTGAATTTATGGAATGTTATTGGTATGATTTTATGATCAATTTGTAGCTGGTAGTTATGGGATGCATTACTACAAGCTTGTTAAACTCCTTTACTGTGTTACATTTGTAAAACTTATGTTGACATTGTACTGCATTGAATTAAATATTGGATATTTGGTTAAATGAATCGGCCTGAACAGAAAATTGTAGTTTGCCTTAGCTTAATTTCTATATCGAAATGGTTTGAATAGGTTAATACTTTTTTGTACTTTCTGTTGTGGGTCCCTCAAACATGTGGGACCCACATACATTTGAAAAAATAAAACACATATTTTTTTTAGAAGGAATCAAAGTTGGCAGCGAAAGTTATTCAAAGGTTGACAACCAACCTGCCTATAAATAGAGGCAGATGCACCTCAACAATACATACAGCAGAAAGACGAAGGAAAAATGTAGAGAGAGTCAGTTATCTAGTTTTAGGAAGAGTTTCCTAAAAATAGGGAAGAAAAATAGTGAGAAAATTATTTTGGGGTATTTTTGGGAAACACTTAGTGTGCCACTATGTTTGTATTACTCTCTTTGTGTACCTACTATTTTTAATAGTGAAAGAATTATTCAGAGTTTGTCCCGTGGACGTAGCCCTAAACATACTACTCTTTGTGTACCTACTATTTTTAATAGTGAAAGAATTATTCAGAGTTTGTCCCGTGGACGTAGCCCTAAACAGTTGAGGGTGAACCACGTAAATTCTGTGCGCTCATTTCTACTTTTCCGCTGCATTAATTTTCTCTTAATTTTTTATGAGGGCCAATAAGTGGTATCAGAGTTGATGCCCAAAAACTGGTATCAGAGCTGATGCCTAACAAGTGATATCAGAGCTGATACCTAACAAGTGGTATCAGAGCCGAAGATTTCGGCAGGTCCAGCCGGTTAGATAACGGTACCGGATCCGTGGATATATGTT